CTTTCGATGCTACCACCAAAGGTACGACAATTGATGTATTTGTCTGTTAAATCTTTTGGTCTAATCAGTCTTTGATGCACTCCGGAAATAGATGCACCAGTGTCCCTAAGGAGTGATATGGTTTGCCCATGGATCTGACCTTTCTGAAATTTCAGAGTACCGTGGCCGTGTGTTGCCAGATTAGCGTTCTGAATGGGTATCAGGTGTCCACACGGTAGGTTGCCTTCCTTATGGAATTTAGAACATATTTTACATTCTTCTTCTGTTTCGTACATGGTAGCTGAATTGGCTTCCGCTGAATCACTTTCTGACTCATCATCTGATGTTACACATACTACATGTGCCTCCTTGAATCGTTTTATAGCAGGACAGTTACGTCTGGTGTGCAAATAACATCCACAAATATAACATTTTACTGCATTTTCATACCTCTTTAACTTGTTTTTTCTATGAGCAATCACCTGTTCGATTCTTTCATTAAATAGTGGGCTTTTATCACAAGGTGCGTCGTCACCATGTCTATTGTGACAGTGGTTGCAATTGATGGTCTTTACCTCTTTCTTGCCATATCTAAAGTTTTTGTTCTGAAATTTCTGTTGGTATGGTTTTGCATAGGCTGCTGCTCCCACTTCTATCAAATCAGAACTTGATAGCACGAAGATATCAGGGTGTGCTGCAAAATAATTTTCACCTACTTCTTCTAAAGAATCTAAATTTGTTGGCTTATTTTCCTTTAGGAAAGTTGCCATTGGCTGTGGAAGAGATTCTAACATTTTACATCTTAACAATAAATCAACCAATAATTTATAGTCATTTTTTACATTGGCTGCTTCAACCCATTTTTGGAATATGTTCTGTACTTCTGACAGATAGTCTGCAAATGTTTGACTACTTTTTGGTCTCAAATCGTTGAACTGTTTTCGATAGCCAGCTTCATGCAGGTTGTAATGCTTCATTAACCTCTCTTTGATATAGTTGTAATCTAGTCTTTTGGTTTCCGGAATTGTTTCCAGAATCTTCAAAGGTTCAAATGCCAGGTGTTTTTGAAAGATTAAAGCGTAGTCTTGCAATGGGACGTTATGCATGTGCATACCTAGTTCGAAATTGGCTATATACGCTCCGATGTCGTCTTCCTTGCAGTAATTTCGGACTATTCCTGCATATTTTTTGAATTTGTTTTCTTCTGCTTTGATTCTCTCTTTTTCTATGGCTGCTTCTCTTTTTGACTCATTTTCCATTTCCTTTGTTCTGATCTGAGTTTCTGCTTTTTCTTTGTCCGCTTGTATTTGTGCCTCTAACCTCTGTTTTTCCAGCTGTAATTTTTTCTCCTCAATCTCTTTTTGTTGTAGTAGTTCCATCTGTTTCAATTCAGCTTCTTTGATTGCTTCTTTCTCTTTGAGACGTAGTTCATGTTCACGTACAAGTCTGCGTTCTTCTCGTTCTTCTGCTGCTTTTCTTAACTGTTCTTCTTTTTCTTCTGCTGCTCTCCTCTGTTTTTCTTCTTTTTCCTCTGCTGCTCTCCTCTGTTTTTCTTCTTTTTCTTCTGCTGCCTTCTCTTTATGTTTTTCATCCACATACTTTCTTAACTCGTCGCCCTGAAGGCCCAATTCTTTACCAATGGCTACCCATTCCGCCATTTTTTGACTTGTAGATGTATACGATATTCCTGTACAAATATAACAATTACAAATGCGTTCACAAATATTACTCTTAATAGCAATGCAATCACAACCAACAAAATTAATATGTGATATATAATCACTATGTTTAGCTGAGTAGTTTTCTACCTGCTCAGAACAATAATATCAACTATGAACTTAATTACTCAACTTTTAAAAAAAAATTACTATGGCTCCTATCGAGCTAAGACACAGTCTATTCTACGGATCCTTCTTTTCGCTATAGCACACTTCTCGGCTGTAACGGAAATATATTGAACGAGTCTCTTGTAGATCGTGTCGTGCAATTGAATCTTCCGGTTGGTAATGTCACTTCATTAATTGGCCACTACCCGTCTGAATTCATATTGTGGTTCATCATGGAAGTAGTGTACTTTTTTGAAAAATAGCGGCACTCGTCTATAAGTTGAACATGGGTGTCAATCTGAATAGTTCATGGAAACACTGTCTGTTCTAAAGACTTGAAGGAACTCACAGCAAACTGTTCTGCACGTGCACTCGTTCTACCTGTGCTACGGATGTTCGTTTAGCGGTGTTCCGCTAGCTGCATGTTAGATCAGATATGTGGATATAAGTCGGCTGTCCGCTTGACCAATGTCACTCAGCTAGATGCCTTGTCTTAACACACTTACGTTATGTTAGCATGTTTAGTGATCACTGTACTTGGTGGCTGTTGCCCTTTGCAACTACTGTTTCAAACACTGGACTGATTGATGACTACTTTGATGTTGTAATACATAGTATAGTTGTTACGATCACACTGTAACAATACGCAGTATAATTGTTACGATCACACTGTAACAATGTGTAGTATAGCTGTTACGATCACGCTGTAACAATGTGTAGTATAGTTGTTACGATCGCACTGTAACAATGTGTAGTATAGTTGTTACGATCACCTGTAACAATACGCAGTATGGTTGTTATGATGACACTGTAATAATACGCGGTACAGTTGTTATGATGATACTGTAACGATACGTGGTATAGTTGTTATGATGATACTGTAACGATAACTAATTTCGACACGTTACCCAGTGGCGAATTTGGCCATCCTTACACAGGAAAACTGTACTTGAAATTTCTACACATTTTCTTGAGGTAAATTTCGACACAGCAACTGGTGTTACCACGGATGATGGCTGTATAGCGGCCTTGACCCAGTCCCCCACTTACGTCAACTCTGCAGCTCCGCTTTGAGCTTTGAAGTTTAACTGGTTCAACTGGCCGGGTTTTTGGTCACTACACTGACCATGTTTGTCGTTGCTTGTTCTGAACCAATAAATTTTGACTAACAACTGCTGTTACCTCAGACGATTACTGGAAATCGACCTTGACACAGAACGCCACTTACATTGACTGTTCAGCTCCGTTATTAGCTGTCGAGTTCAATTGGTCCAACCAGCTGTGTTTTCGGGGATGTTCCGGTTATCTTCTGTCGTTGTTTTTTGTCCCGGATGTGTCCGTTTTAGAGCCTCCACTTGTAATGTGCTCATCTAGGGGCATGTCTTGTTTACATTGCTTTCAGACGAACAGTGAGTTGAAACGACACAGCATGAACGAATATTGAGTTCTTTGCTTTTATTCGTTAAATCGCCAGTTATCGCAAACATACATTCATGCTTCCTCGTGCTCGACTTGCTTGGCTGAATCTAGCCACCTGGTCGGACTTCCCACACACTACGGGAATTTATCAGCGTCTCTCGAACCATCCATCTATACTTCACGAACTCTGATATCTGACATTACGACGTATGGAAAAACATTCAGTCCTCCTATTGGAATATAACGTTCACTTCACAAATCATTTATTCTTCTCAGGCGTCCATTCATGCGTCTTCTCTCAGTCAGGGCCGAACTTCAACTGTCTTACTTCAGTCTCTCGGTTCACGTCTTTCGTTCACATCTCATGCTTTTCTTGTGTCTCTCACTTCGTTCACCATGAGACACACGAGACTCACTTCTCCCGTTTTTCTCTTCTCTCACGGGTCCTCCGACCTTTTTCTCTCCATCGGGAACTCTCTGGGGTTTCCCCGGGAATTCACAACATTACAGTATTTAAACTGGATAAATAGCAAACGACTGGATATTTAAATAAAATAATTAGTGAATAAATGATTTAATGAATGCATGAATAAACAATTTAATGAATAAATTAACGATTTACGAATGAACGATTTGATTAAAAAATGATTTAATTTAAAAAAATGGTTTAATTAGTGAATTTATAAGTGAATAAATGACTAATTTAATAAATCGAAAAATCAAAGCAAAGTTTCCCGGTTGTAAGTTTGAACAAAGAAGACACAAACAAAAGATTGCACAATTTACTGCCCGGCATATTTCGCTGTATCTCGTCAGGTGCATACTACAGTAATAATTATAATAATTTTTTATTTTATTTTAATATTTTAATTTTTATTTAATAACTATAACAATTAACAAAAATTATAAATACAGTAATACTTCAGTTATAAAGTATTAACTTATTTGCTTCATTTATGAAATTATTACTGTAGTATACACATGACGGGGAGTTCCCATGGCGGAGCAGCTAGACGCTCGCCGCGGATCGAAAGGTCGTAGGTTCGCTCCCTGGTGGAGCCAGACTTTTTAAAAAAATGACCTTGGCTCGCAGGTCGACCCAGCCTTGAGTGGGTACCGGGTGCAGTCCCGCGAAGTAGACGCGGCCAGCGTGATGCTGACCACATCACCCATCTTGTGCCGATTGGTCTATACAAATATAGGTCTAGCTCTATATGCCCTATACGCCTAAAGGCGTGAAAAATCGTCCTTTACTTTTGTTTGTTTGTTGTATACACATGACCAGATTCAGCGAAATATGCCAGGCAATAAATTGTGCAATCTATTGCTTGTGTCTTCTTTATTCAAAAATCCATAAATGGTTAAACCAATGAATGGTCATAAACCATTCCACGAGTAACATTAAGTTATTACTCAATGGAAACATGTGACATCACTGGACACTGAGCCTACCTATTTGTGCTTCTTCAGAAACCAACGAAAGGTTACGATGATGATGATGATGATAATGATGATAATAATAATGATGATGACAGTGGCAGCCTGTCTAAAAGTCCGTCTGTGTCCCCCCCCCTCCTCTCCCCCCCCCCCCCATTCCTTTACACTCTGAGTGTCGTCCAGACGCAGTACCCACTCCCTGCTGCATGCATCTCTATACGTCTGAATGTTCTGTGTGTTCCGTTGCTGCGCGAACCATGGCGCTGTGACAGAGGCGTTGCTGTGGTGTCGTGTTCGAACTAACCTCAAGGCACCGAACCATATTAACATGGAACTTACTTTTCAGCAAAGCCTGGATGTCGTCGCCCAGTTTAGCAAAGGTGTTGAAGAAGGACTTGTCCGCGGGGATGATGTTTAACTTGTTCCAGTTTCCGCAGGCGAAGTCGAAAAAGTTGTCACAAGGGTCGACTGCGGAGTCCATTGATGTTAGCAGGCGGGAGGCTGTAACAGAGACATCCACATGTTACTGTTGAGTGGGAGATCTCCTCCTTCTCCTCCTCCCCTTCCTCCTCATCATTTATCTTCTTCGTCTTATTCGTTTGCCCTTAAAATCTTACAATGGCGTTTGGTAAAGGTTACAGCTAGGCAGCGATATCTGCGCTGTTCGGTCCAACGCATCTGATTTAAGCCAACCCGTTACTTTATAGGTCATATTTCACGACATGATTATTAAGGAGGAACGGGAGCGGGGGTTTACCCCCTCCTACACCCTTTTCCATACCTGGGTCCGTGGAATCCAGACAGGACAAGTTACAGACCACTAATTAACACTGTCCGTAGCAAGCTTGTTTCTCTTTAACCCATTCTGTTTTTATAATGTGTTTCTCAATGATTCTTGAAGTTTAGTTGCAGTGTTGTTCTTCTAGGCCACAGTTTGCCGTTAGGAGTCTGTCCTGTCCGACCGCCCCCCTCCCCCAACCCTTTTCATCAACGGCATTCCTTCCCAGATACCTGGTTTAACCCCCATACAAGTTACAATTAGGGCACATGTGATAGCTACACATAATATTGTACCAAGTAGTCCTATGTAGACGAGGAAGTCTTGCACAGGAAGTAAGTCTTGCATAGGAAGGAAGTCTTGCATAGGAAGTCTTGCAAAGAAAGTCTTCCATGCAACCTATTTTCTTCTTCTCAGCGTTTACCGGCTGTAAACTCCAGCGAAAAGTCCCGGTTGTTCGTTCACTTCTAGACTCCGGTCTTGTTCCAGAGCTTGAGTTTTGCGCGCACATCCGTTATTTAAAAGCAAATCTGGCGTATTTGAATGCAGACAGTTGGTTCCTCGCCTCTCATGCAGATAGATGCACTTCGACTTAGCAAAAACATCCGTTTTTAATCGCCTGTTACATGCCGTTTCCACTACCTTCGGGCGAACTGGGTATCCAGGGATAGACCTATTTTTCTACAGACCAATCGACACTCGATGGGTGATGTAGTCAACATCACGCCGGCAGCCTTTACTTATCATCAGTGTCACTGGTACCCAATTAGGGCCGCTCGACCTGGGAGACAATGTCCCTTTTTTCAAAAGTATCCGAACCACGACCTTCGGATCCGCGGGCGAGCGTCTACAACCTATAATAACAGATACAAAAACCTCACCTGCAGTGACACACCCGGCAGTGAGACATATGTCGCTGACATTGATCCCTTGGGGTATGTGGCAGTCTAAGGGATATTTAGGAGGAAGTCGCCTGAGCTTCTCTGAGTTACTTTCCCCTAACGACTGGCCTCCAACTTGCGCTGCTGGTCCTTTAGGCTGATCATTTACCGGAACGTCATAACCTGTGTGGAGATTGATCGTAGACATTTTGTTTACATTTATAACAACGTCAGGTTTATACATTGCAGGCAAAGAAGAGACTTTATCTGGACGGATTCACACAGTCAACAAAGCATGGCATATGATTTCACAACGTCTAGTCTGGGAATGGAGGTGGAGGCAGTCACTGTTGCCTTTCGCTGTATTAAGAATCAGCTGTACACACGTGTCGTAACTGAGTGACTCAAAGAGTTTTGCTTAGAAAGGCAGAGACAGGCATTCTTGGTGCAGTGGTTCGTTAATACATCCCAGGAATAGAGTAGACCATATCTGGACAGGACGCATATACAGTCGAATAAATCAATCAGGGTGTCCTCTCCAGGCTGATACTTAAAGACTGACCATACCATCCTGAGATTTAACACACACAAAATCTCAGTCTGGACGGCAGACCAAAAAGGTAGATCTCAGATACCCTGTTCAATTTTCAAAAAAGTTACAATTAGGATTCTAGTAATGGTTACACCAGCTAGGTGTAATCTGCAGTCCTAATCGGAGGCTGCGTTAGCGCAGTCAAAATGAGACTAGCTTTCAAATCCAGCTGCGAGTCGCTATAGCCCACATCCGGTGTTTCAAGCCCGGCGGTTCCCGGGGTTCATCTCAGCCTCTAGAAAATGGGTACCAGAGTTAACACTGGAGTAAATGGAGGAACGTCGCTGTAGCTACGGAGTTGCCTGCGGACGGCGACACAAGCGTCCAGTTTCTTATTAGCTGTCCGTACTAGTGACAGAGCACTTATGGTTTATAGCCGTGTGCAATGACGCTGGTTCACACCTCCTGACTTTATTTTCTAACTTTACCTACTCGGGTGAGGACGACACATATATACAGAAAACAAATTAATATTGTTGTTACCATGAAAGTTAGGAGAAAGCATATAGAGGCTTTCAGCTATATAAAATCCTGATGCCCCAACCGTTTTAACACATCTGCGACCGGCTCACCCATGGCTCGCCGCTACAGACTTCATCGCCGGGTGGGACATTATTTGGGTCGGTCACCAATGATTGCATCAACAATGCATGAGTTCTTTTCAGAACTACTTTGTGGCGTGCAATGCTAAGCCACTTTACATGGCGCACATTATATATTCACAATTATAACCCAATGCTTTCCCTTCGCGGATGCTGGCTGAACGTGACGATTTGTTTTTCCGCAAAGCAAGCCAAACCAAGTACCGGTTTAAAATAAACTAGCTAAACTCAGAAAACGTCAAAATTTATACGAAATTCAAATTCACGGATAATGGAAACGTATAAGCGCCTAATCTTCGTAAGAAGAGAATAATAAAGAACGTGTTAAAAAAAAAAATCATATTTTAAAATCCACTACAAAAAATACAACTTCAAACCTTTTCTTGAAATATAAATTTTTCTGAGATCCCTTCAGATTGTGAGGCCCTAAGTGGCAGCCTACTTAACTTATGCGTACATCCAGCAGTGGGAACAGGGCAACAAATCCCTGTCAATGAATCTCGGTGGCTGATCCAGGAGAGAAGCTCTGATAGTCGGACAGTGTATTTCTATTCTGATCCAGCAACTTTTGCAGCATGCTCAGTTCCAAATATAGTTGGTGTTACCTTTCCATTAGAGAAAAAAGGTAGGCCAAATTGGTATCGTACTGTTTGGGGAGAGACACACTGTCTCAACAATTATGTCCAAGCTTTGTGATATGGAGAGGGGGAGTGTTATGTCTGGCCTTATTTTGTCTTAGAATCAACCACACAGGCGCCGTCTTCACAATGAAGGCTGACGCTCTACAACACGCTCTGTCTTGGTTGCACACTCTCTCTGATTGCTATTAGTCCATCTCTTGATGTTGTCCTCCCACTTGTATTATTTACTATCTCTCGCTCTCTTGCTCTCGACCTTTCCCTCCCGTATAGTTTTTAAAAGCGTATTATGTCATTTAATGTGGCCACAATATTTCGGTTGTCTCTCTCTCTCTCTTTTTTAAAATTTCTTTTAGTAATTCTCTTTTCATTCAGCATTCCCAGAACCTCTGTGTTTGATTGTTTTTGTTTCCATGAATTACGACCTTTTCTTCTGTTTATTAATTTTTCCAGAGACTCAATTTGATTAGAAGGAACTATGTAAAGTACATGAGATGGAACAAATCCCTGTCTGAAATGGTCTTAAATCCCAAGATCCTACTGTGGAACACTTTTCTTCACGCAGGCAGGTCTTGCTAGTCACATTCGCCATCGCCATGGGCGTTGATTCACATACCTCCCTATAGCACAGCAAAACACTATAGCACAACACAACACTAAAGTACAACATAGCACTATAGCACAACACAAAACTATAGCACAACATAACCCTATAGCACAATATAACACTACAGCACAACATAACACTACAGCACAACATAACACTATAGCACAACAAAACATTACAGCACAACATAACCCTTTAGCACAACATAACCCTATAATATAACATATCATTACAGCACAAAATAACACTACAGCACAGCATAACACCACGGAAGAACTTAACAGTACAGCACAACATAACACTATAGCACAGCATAACACCACGGAAGAACATAACACTACAGCACGACATACCACTGAAGCACAACATAAAACTACAGCACAACATAAAACAACAGCACGACATACCACTGAAGCACAACATAACACTACAGCACAACATAATACTACATCACAAAATAACACTACTGCACAACATAACACTACAGCACAGCATAACACTACAGAAGAACATAACACTATAGCACAACATAACACTACACCACTACATAACCCTATAGCACAACATAACCCTATAACACAACATAACACTACAGCACAAAATAACACTACAGCACAAAATAACACTACGGAAAAACATAACACTACAGCCCAACATAACACTATAGCACAGCATAACACTACAGCACAACATACTACAGCACAACATAACACTACAGCACAACATAACATTATAGCACAGCATTACACTACAGAACAACATAACACTACAGCACAACATACCACTACAGCACAACATAACACTACAGCACAACATAACACTACAGCACAACATAACACTACAGCATGACATAACTCTACAACACAACATAATACAACATCACAAAATAACATTACTGCACAACATAACACTACAACACAACATACTACAGCACAACATAACACTACAGAACAACATAACACTACTGTACATTATTACACTATAGCACAACACAACACCAACAGTATTTAAAAGAGCTAAAATGTAATGCGAGTCCGCACAGATGTGATTTTGCAGGAGAATGCCTTTGAGCTGAAATGCTATAGAAAGATTCTTAGAATACCATGGACAAAGAAGAGAAGAAACTGTGACATTTTGAAAGATTTGAACATCAAGGACGATTGGCTAATAAACAGTATCTTGTCTCAGGAGCTGAAATATTCTGGCCATAACAAGCGCCACGACGGATTGAAAAAAAAAAAAATAATAGCTAAAGGCATGGTACCAGGAAGGAGGGGCAAAGGCCGACCAACCCGAAGATTTGTACAGGATACAAGTGAATCCTTGAGTGTGAAAGTACATGAGGCGGGAGAGCTGACGACCGATCCAGTTTCTTTCAGGCAGACGGTGATGAGAGCGACGTTCTGCAAAGGACCTGCTACATGATGATGATTACAATTTCTTCGTTAACCAAAATAAGTAATCTATATATTTTAAAAGGGGCGGAAATGCGAAACAAAATTATCATAAACACCAAAAAGAAACATACATTTAAAAAAATCATCTTAAGGGAGGAAAGAAATGAACATTTTGTGAAGCGAAACATGCTTTTGGAAACTTCAAATTCTGAAGAGGGATCGCCTACGACATTCGACAAGGCACTTGATAATGATGATGATGATGATGCTGATGAGGAGGAGGAGGAGGAGGAGGAGGAGGAAAATTATGTGTGCACAATCAGTTTACAAAAATAACTGATTAGCCTCGTCAAAATCAGACAATAACATTCTCTTGGCAGATCACGGAATGTGGGAGAAACGCGTATACTGTGACAGCAATTTAGCTGGAAGGGTTTAAAGACGAGAGAGACCAAGAGAGAACGTGCTGAACAGCTTGGCACCAGGGCATTGCAGAACGTCCACCTTCGTTAAGGAGACACTTTATTGATTGACAGAATTGACCCCGCAGAGGTCGTTCGATGGGCGTGACATAAAATTCTTGCCGGACATAATTTACTAATGGTAGGGAAAAAATGTTGCGGTTTCAAATATTCGTGCGTGCGTGTGTGCGTGTGTGTGTAAGGGTGGGTGTGTGTGCGTGTGTGTGTGTGTGTACGTGCGCGTGCATGGAGGCGTGCGTGCGTGTGTTTGTGTCTTTGCAATGAAACTATTCTGTGCTCTCTCGCTCTCCCTCTCTCGCCTCTCTCTCTCCAGCTCGCTGTGTGTGTGTGTGTGTGTGTTTCCGTTCATGTGATTAGCCAATGTATCTACATAGAGCTTCGCCTATTTACCTACCGACAAAAATACTCACTACCAACCCCATTAAACATTCACCTACACAGAGAACCCACCAGCCTACTCACTCATCTGTCTAAACTACTGCACATCTACTCATCCATCAACCTATCTACGCATGTACCCTTTTACTTACCCGTTTACTCATATAGCACTCATTCTCCACACATAGTGGAATGAGTTTCATTTGTGCAGCGGTTGAATTGTTGTATTCAATATGGCCGGAAGCGTGTTTACGTGTGGGCTGGTGAATAACCTTATGTAATAATTCTACGTGTGCATAGCCAGCTTATCGTGTCGTGAGGGCTATTTCATTTCATTTTCACTGGCACAGGAACGGAGCAAGCATGGGGTGATCCGACTGAAGTGAAGCTGAAACCTCGACTTAGACTTACACTAAGATTCTATATTTTTCAACATGACTTATGAGTCCGTTACAATCACAAGTGTGACGGGGGCCGCGTTAGCGCAGTCGATAAGGAGCTCGTTTTCAAATCCAGCTGCGACTCGCTGCAGCCCACGGTCGGTGTTCGAAACCGGGCGACTCCCGGGGTTCACCCAGCCTCTAGGAAATGGGTACCAGAGCGATACTCTGGGGTAAATTGAGGAACGTCGCTGTAGCTACAGAGTTACGTGCGAACGGCGACACGGGCGGACAATTCTTATCAGCTGTCCGTACTGGCGGCAGAGCACTCATGGTTTATAACCGTGTGCAATGACGCTGGTTCACATCTCCCGACTTTACCTTTGTTTTTTGTTTTTGTTTTTTTACAATCACAAGTGTATTCAGCTGCCCTTCACTCATCGGAAAGCTGTTGTGACCAGTCTTTCATGAAAAGATATCGAACCAAACGTAAAGCAGGACTAGGCAGCTTTCCATTATCACAGTCATAACCGACAAGTTAGCTTTGCAACTAGACATCAGCACAAAGAAAAAACAGACAATGTTACAATTACGAACAAAATATCGTAACTGCGTATCTTCAAGAGAAATGTACGTTTGTAAAACGGATGAGCACAAAAGATTCGAATTCTGAAACAAGACCAAAGTCCAGAAGTGGACGAAAAACCAGAACTTTCCGTCAGAGCTTACAGCCTGTGAACGCGAAGAAGGGATTCGAGATCAATTCTCAGATAAGAAAGAATCAGCAAGGCCCAGACAGACTTTCTGGAGATCATGGGAGTATAAATTAAATGTTATCCAAGTTTCGTGCTAACAGGCAAAACGAGTACTGAGGGAGGGGGGAAAACTCCTATAACTGCTTGTGTGTTTATTCTAGGGCAAAGGCTTGGACAAAATTTTTTATTCTTTCAGGGGTCGGAGCCTCAAACCTTGTTTAAGTATGTAATAACCACCATCGAGTGCCTTGCCTAATAGCGTGGGCGGTCATGAGTCTCCACAATCTGCGATCCACAGCTTCATGTATCAGTTCGTGTGGTAACAAGTCTCCATGCCACGACCCAAAGCTGTCAAGAATCTTCTCGCGCTGTCCTTCTCTGTCTCTCTTTTAAGAGATCTTTTCAGTTGTCGCAACATGTTCCAGTTTCCCTTTTCTCGTAGCATGACCAAACAATGATGACTGTGTTTAAGACATGTGTTTGATCCCTCGCCTCTTGCAAAACATCTGAGCTGCTCTTTTTAGCTTTTCAATGAATTATGAGGATTCTTCGGTAAAATCACATCCCTGAGGCCTAAAACAATTGTCATGCTTGTTCATTAATTATCTAGGATTCACAGACGTATGTTAAAACTAACTTGATATAGCATGTGAGAATTCTTTTCCTAACCTTCAATGTCATGGATTTATTGAATAAAATGTTTATAATTTTATAAAATACCTTTTTGGCTTGTCCAATTCTGGTGTTTATCTCTGTGATACATCTTCCGTGGGATGTTATCCCTGTGCCTAGATATTTAAATGTCTTTACTTGATCCTAAAATAACGCTTTTGACGTTTATTACTCACTAATGCATTATTCTTTTCTTGGAAATAGCCATTATATCAGTTCTTCCCATGATTAAGTCTGAGGCCCATTTTATCACTTTCTGCCGCTTCCATAATGTAATAATAACAATAACAATAACAATAATAATAGTAATAATAATAATAATATCAAAGCAATGTTTTCCCGTTGTAAATTTGAACAAAGAAGACACAAACAATAGATTGCACAATTTTTTGCCTGACATATTTCGTTGTATCTCGTCAGGTGCATACTATAGTAACAATTACATAAATGAAGCAGATAAGTGAATCCTTTATAACTGAAGTACAAATTCAACAACGATCAAACATGACTGCCTGTTTTACCAGGGCAGCCGTAAAGTCAGAACCATATCTTTCTGTACACAGAGTTTTGGGCGCAGGTGACGAATCGCTGAATGTTATAAAGGTTATTTGCGTATCCTTTACAGGACGTTGCAGAACCAACCCCAACAGCTACTGGCTGTTGTGTGGGTTTTCTAGGCAAATTTACGTCCAGTAGCTTGCCATTGCTTTCTGGACGTTCGGCTTTCTTGATACCACTGTCGAAACCATCGCAAGGCGCACGGCCCGCAGCTGGGATCGAACCCGGCATCCCGGCATTACGAAGCGTTCGCATCGACTTAGCCACAGAGCCGACGAATGGTATATGCTCTTTAGTTATAGGCCACGTCTGTTTTGATTGGACTGTACGTAAAACATGCAGTCATGTTTGATCGTTTTGAATTTGTGACAAAGAATTCGTTTATTCGTTTCATCTATGTAACTGTTACTGTAGTATTCACCTGACAAGATACAGCGAAACATGTCAGGCAATAAATGGTGCAGTCTATTGTTTGTGTCTTCTGTGTTCAATAATAATAATAATAATAATAATAATAAATGGTGCAATCTATTGTTTGTGTCTTCTGTGTTCAATAATAATAATAATAATAATAATAATAATAATAATAATAATAATGCGCTAAAGGACATATGATTACAATATTTTTAAAAAATAAAACAACAGAAAATTGATACACAATACTTAGAAAGAAAACGCCCTTTCATGGCTAGGGGTCCATTTAGCCCCAGCGAAAATGTACGAATTTAGAGGGAAAGCCCCAGTAAACCTAAAACTGGAGCTTGGGGGTCAGGGAGCCTCATATCTAAAACTTCAGAACCCAGCCGCTGCTGGCGCACCTGTTTGAGGGCTAATTCTAACTCAGTATTAGCACTTATTCAGCGCAGAGTTTGTAGAGGATATGGAGAAAAGACGGGGTCGGAAGTTAGGTAAAGTCAAATATGAGGCAACTGATGAAGCACACAGATTAAAAAAAATAATAATAATAACATCACAATTCGCATTATTTATTATATCTGCCATTTCGGATCAGCCAGGGATCTCGGGGCATCTTGTACTGGGAGTAAAAGAGATTGTGAACATGGGCTCTGTATCTGTCGTGGATACTAGGTGCCATAAGGTACACAGACAAATATAAACACACTCACGCACACGATAGACACAAGAATGCGTGCGTTCTCTCTCTCTCTCTCTCTCCCCCCCCCCCTTTCCGTCTACACTCACACACAAAAATAACTGAAAAAAAGCTAATATCGCAATCAATACTACTCCCAGCGCCATCGATATCACTACCACCACCACTACTAACGTTGCCGCTGCTTGGATAGATCACAAATTCAAACAACTATTATTTGGATGAGGAGGAGGAGAAGGAAAAGAAGAAGAAGAGAAGAAGAAGAAGAAGAAGAAGAAGAAGAAGAAGAAGAAGAAGAAGAAGAAGAAGAAGAAGAAGAAGAAGAAGAAGAAGAAGAAGAAGAAGAAGAAGAAGAAGAAAACTGCACTGATAACCACAAATACTTCTTCTACCACAACAACTACCATCACCATCACTACTACAACAATATTAAAACAACAACAACATTGACATGTGAACTGATTCATGGCAAGGCAGATGTGGTCAAGGCCCTTTGGGAACAATCAGAGGAATCAGTAGAGAAAGAAGATTATTAGGGCCTAGAGAGAATGAGGCACCTGGGTGTAACCAGAGGGTCTGGCCGGCTCAGAGGAAAGGCCAGACAGATATATAACCAGATTGTGACCGGTGCCATCAGTATTGGAACTCTGCGGTGGCTGCTGAAAATGAGGACGGAGCACGCATGGGAATGCCCCGAGTGCTGTGATGCCTATTCTTGACTCAACTCAAATCAACACTGACACATACATCAACAACACAACAGCAACAACAACAAAATAATTAAAAAAATACAGCTGATTAAAATAACGCTAGTATTGCATAAACATTATTAATAAATGAATGTAAGAATGCATCATTCAACTAATCAACAACACAAAATCCCACCAAGAATACAACACTTCACTTATATGTCTAATGCACCCTCTATGCATGAATCAATCAATTATTCAATCAGTCAACCAGTAAAGCAAACTGGAAAGACAACACATCATGCACCTACATATTTCAAATGCCTTAGATACACGAATCTAACATTAAATCAACCAACCAACCAATACAAGCAGACGAGGATGACAACACCACACTGCGCCCACCTGTTTGATTCGCTTTCAATACATGAAACAATAAATCAACCAGTCAATCAACCAACCGACCAACCAACCAATACAAGCAGACCATGGAGACAACACCACACTGCGCCCACTTGTTTGATTCGTCTTCGATACATGAAACGATAAATCAACCAGTCAATCCACCAACCAACCAACCAATACAAGCAGACCAGGATGCCAACACCACACTACACCCACCTTTTTGAGGCGCCCTCGAGGCCAGCAAGATGATGAGAGCGATGACCACCACAGCCAGGAAGACACACACCAGAGCCAGCATCAGCTCCAGCCGAGTCCAGCCGTCCAGCCAAGGGATCGCTGACCGCCGCCTTTGGGTCCCGCACTGGTTGCTGTTTGAGAAGACGACGGGAGGAGTTTTTAAGGACATGCGGGGTCCTACCTAACTGCTTGCGTGTCTGCATACTCATGTGCGAACATACTCACACATTCGCACATATACACACATAGATATACACTCACACACAAATATACATATATACTTATATATAGACACACACACGCACTTACGCACGCACGCACGTACGCACGCAAGCACCCACCCACACACACACCCACCCACCTACACCCCCACCCACCCACCCACCCACACATACACACACACACACACACACACACACACACACACACACACACACACACACACACACACACACACACACACACACACACACACACACACACACACACACACACACACACACACACACACACACACACACATACACACATACACACATACATACATACATACATACATACATACATACATACATACATACATACATACATACATACATACATACATACATACATACATACATACATACATACATACATACATACATACATACATACATACATACATACATACATACATACATACATACATACATACATACATACATACATACATACATACATACATACATACATACACGCACATGCATCATACTCAAATGATACTTACATACGCAAATACATAATATGAACGTACGTACGTCCAAACTTATATACATACTTGCATACATACACACACATCACCTTACAAATAGATCACCCCCCCCCCCTCTCACTCAAAAAAAACCACAGGAATATATATATATATATATATATATATATATATATATATATATATATATATATATATATATATATATATATATATATATATATGTCACAGACCTCTGGGTGACCTTGCTGGTCCGTAGCTCGTAACTGGGCCTATGACAGACAGACTAACCTTTTACACACACTGAACCCGAACGCACACAGAGCACACACGACAATCTTTATTGTAAGTACAGGTAATACAATAGACAGTTGACTTCCCGCTGTGTGGCCACCTATTGCTTGGACCCTCTGGCCGAACGAGCTTTACAGTCGCCTCGCTCCCAGTACGTTCCACAAGCAATCTCCTGGTGCACAAACCACACGGTCACGAGATACGCTCTTAACTATCGACACACTGACCAACCAAACTGTCACAGCCTCTGTCTAGTACAGGGTCAGAGTGCCAAGGTTAGACATTCTCTCACAGAACATGTACATAACTGATTTAACTGGTCAGAAGTAACTGGAACCTATTTACCTCTTATGGAACAACAGAATACCTTGTACCAGTTAAATACACTTCACAAAAACTATCCTATTCCAATAGAACACTGTACATAAACTATGCAGTCACTAACAGAAATATCCTAACTCTAATATCCTATCACTGTCTCGCTACACGTCTTCTCTCTCTGACCGTCGCACACCGAATGTCCTGTGTTCTCTCCACCTCGTGTCTCTTGACCCAGTTCACCAGCTCAGTCCTTCACCAGCTCAGTCCCAAAAGCGGTAATCGTGTTGCGGACTTGTCCACAACAAAGTTCACTCTTTCTTGCCGTGGCCAAACGCTTGATCCTAAGCACTGGTTTCACCGTGCAATAACAGAACAGACTTGACCAGTCACGGCCCTGACCTTTGTGTCAACCCTGGGGTGTCACCTCAACACGCACCCCTTACGATGTAATACATACCGCCACTGACTGTACTCACAGGGTTGTGACAATATATATATATATATATATATATATATATATATATATATATATATATATATATATATATATACAATCGTACATGTACACACCAGTGTTACCACTTTGGATGTTTTACCAGATTTAGATGTTTTCCCTAGCATTTAGATGGTGTTTTTGACGTTTAGATGGTAGATGTTTTTGTAGATGTTTTTCATTTTGAGTTAGATATTTCATAGATTTATTTATTTCAGTGTCAGTTTAATAATCACTTAAAATATTTACTACAATATTTTTGTTTTGGTCTGGCACGTACATTGTGACAATTGCGATTACTTAAACTTTGAACTCTCACTGAGGTCAACGCTCACATATCTGGCAGCCCCGGTACTGATTAGTTATCAAGTAACAGAAAGTGTATTAATCGGCACTCATAGAAAGAATTAGACAGATAGAAGTAGATAGATAGAAGTAGATAGATAGAAGAACACACTAGACAACATAAAAATCGAAAGCTATAGTTACCGTGCCGGGAATTGAACCTGTCACCTCCGACGGCGTCTGCGCCTCGCCATGAATACAAGTGCACTAAGAACATAGTCAACTAGGCACCCCCAAAAAGAGGTGTTTTATTGGCCATGTCTATAGTACAACTTGAAATCCACAACTATGGAATACGGATAGAATTCATTTCAAACCATTTAAATGGCACCATAGGTTACAGAAATTTATATTAACGAAGCATATGTTGAATAACAATCACAGCAACAATTTACGAACACAGCAGACTTAAATGCTTTGTCTAGAATACACAAACATTTAAGAAAGGTATTTGATTGGTAGGTTATGGTGTGCATACGTCATTCCTATAAATAAACAGAGGGGGAACCTTTGAGGCCGGTAAATATTATGAATTAATCAAGTAACAGAAAGTGTATTGATTGGCACTCAGAGAAAGAAGTAGATAGATAGAAGAATACACTACACAACCTAAAATATTTTCTGATTAATTAAAAGCGCGCGTTAATCATACTAACTTTGTTTCAACCGTATCCTCACTGTGCTGACTTTGTGTTTCTTTTTCATGTGATTTTTAAATAATAATTGCTCACCTTTATATGTGGCTTTCACTTTGAAAAAACCTTTCAACATGCCAAAAGTAAAGTATGAGCAAAAAATTTCGGAAAGAGTTGTTGCATAAAGACAAAATTACAAACTGGGTGATGGCAGTTCCTGGGGATTTGATGAAGGCTCACTGTAAGTACTGCAAGTATGGAATTAAAGCGAAAATACAAGACTCACAAAGAGTCATGTAGAGACTAAAAAGCATAAAACTGCAGTTTCATTTAAAGATATTACACCGCTGACATTTGTTTTCAGAACTACACTGATAATTGAATCATCAAAAGTTGAAGGATCGGTGGCAATGTTTTAAAGTTGTCACTGTGCAATTTCAAACTGTGACCATTTGATTGATTTGTTTGAAAACACTATTTCTGACAGTAAAGTTGTGGATGATGTGAAAATGCATCGCAGCAAGTGTATACATATTAAAACAAATACTTTATTTTCCCACTTCGAAAAAAGATTTGATCAGTGGTAATTCTACAAATAAATAAAGTTTATTATTAGACGCATCAAATGATATTTCGGTACTGAAAGTGCTTGGTGTGTGTATTATATATTACAGCAACAATACAGACAAAGTAGTTTCTTCATATCTTGGACTAGTTCAATTAGAAAAGTGTGATGTAGAAAGTATTTTCAGGAACTGTAGAAACATTTAATCAGCAAACAGTTAGACTTGAAGAATTTGGCTGCAATTGGTACCGATTGTTGGTATAAATAATGGTGTTTATGCCAAGCTGAAGGAAGCTATCCCATCGTTAATACTTATAAAATGTATGTGTCATTCATTGCAGCTAGCATTATCACATACTTCATCTGAATGCTTACCAAGGAATTTGGAATATCTTATTGCTGAAAAATATAACTGGTTTCCCAAATCATTTGTCAGGCAACAGCAATACAATACATTATATACAGCCTTAAATGATGGCTCCACACCACTGAAAATTCTGTCGGATTGCAAAACTAGATGGTAATCAATTCTACCAGCTGTTGAAAGAATTGTGAAGCAATGGTTGAAATTGAACACACACTTTAAAATAACAAGACAAAGTGAAAAGTTCTACATGGAATGTACTTGATGAAAAAAAAATTTGACATTCCTTCTCTTTTTACAACCTATTCTAATGGAAGTGCAAAAAGTTATTAAACTGTTCGAATCTAAACGTGTTGATAAAGTTAAATTACTTGACGATCTCACTTTGCTATTTCATTCAGTTGGTAAAAGACTAGTGTTGCAAACTTCTAAAGCTGATTTGCTCACTTGCACTATAAAGAGTTATTTGGCTTTTAAGCCATACCTTGGATACCTAAAATATTTCAAATCAAAAATTGATGATTTAAAAACAAAAAGACTGTTAACAGAGAATGAAGAGAATAACTTAAGAAAACGCTGTCAAGATTTTCTTATCTCATTATTCATGCAATTGAAACAAAGACTTCCTGAAAATCTAGATGTATTGAAAAATATTTCATTCTTTTCTATGAGCAACATACTTCAGCCAGTAAAGAACATACCTAAATTTTTAGGGGCTACTGATAATAGTGTCGCGGGAGCAGAATATCAGTTAACCAAAAATTAACTTAGTTGAATAGGGAAAGAAAAAAAAACAGAATGTAAAGCGTTTTGGAGTGAAGTGAGACAATTTAAAGATGCCTCATCAAACAGTCCATTCTGTAAGCTGTTTAAATGTGCCATGTCTGCCATGATACTACCCCACTCAAATGCTGACGTAGAAAGAGTTATCAGTGCTATGAATTATATCAAATAAAACCTAAGAAACATGATAAAATTTGACCTCTAAAATGCTGTCTTGACAAAAAAATTCGGCCTGATGAGAGTAGGAAAATGCTGTTCCACTTATCAGCTCCCTGATTGTGTAATAAAAGAAATTGGAACATAACTGAGTCATTTTGGATCTGAAGCTTCAACTTTATCATCTAAGCTAAGTTTATCCTGTGGATCTTGTGAGGCAGACATCAGTGAAAATTAGGGCATGATTCTATACGGTGAGTCGTATCAATAGCTATGTAATTTGGGACTCTTTCCATTTGGATGTGTTTTCTAAATGTTTTCCACGCAAATTACGATGTTTTAAAATATTTTTGACTCCGTTCTGGATGTTTTTTTTTTTGCCAAAGAAAAGTGGCAACACTGGTACACACACGCATACAGGATGTTAGTTGTCTGTCCTTTGCAAGACGGTGCAGAACTATCCTCAACATTTGTTGACTGTTTGTGATTTAACTAGGTAGTTTCACGTTCAGTAGTTTGCCACTGCTTTTTAAACGGTCTGCTCTCGAGACCACTGTCGAAACCAGCGCAAGGCGGTCTGCTGCCAAATCCCCCTCAGCTGCGATCGAACCCGGCACCTCGGCACTACAAAGCACTTCAATGCGAACAGCGAAAGCCACAAACACCGACCACAGGGCAAATCATAGTCGTCTATGTCGTCGTCTTCGTCTCTGTCTCCTGCTGCTGCTGGTGGTGGTGCTGCTGCTGGTGCTGCTGCTGCTTCCTCTTCTCCCTTTTCTTCTTCTTATTCTTCTTTTGCTTCTTCTTCTTCTTCTTCTTCTTCTTCTTCTTCTTCTTCTTCTTCTTCTTCTTCTTCTTCTTCTTCTTCTTCTTCTTCTTCTTCTTCAGCATTCTGAGCACTTGAGAATCATAGCTGCAGACAAAACCCGCCTCCATTCATCTCTCTGGTTGGCCTTTTCTTTCCAGTTGGTGACAACAAATGTTTGCAGGTCTCTCTGGACATTATTTCTCCATCGTCTTCTTGGTTCGCCTCATGGTCTGCGACCATTCAAATCCCTTGTGTATACAGTTTTTACCTCTCTGGCATCTGACATTCTCTCAATAAGCCTCAGCCATTTCAGTCTATTAGCTCTCCAGATGCCAGTGACCAATAGGGATTTAAACAGATTATGAAGTTCGTTATTGCTTCTCACTCATCATTCCCCTCTGTCTGCACCACTGATGAGTCAAAAGATTCGTCGTATGACTGTTTTCGATAATTTGTAATAAGGCTTCATCTTTTTTAGTTGGGCTTCAAGTTTCAGAGCCATATTAAACGACTGGTCATATCAACGTTTTATATATTTTGATCTTGGTGTTGCGAGATAGAGACTCTGACTTTAGTAGATGTTGAAGGGCATAGTATACTTTTTTTCCAGATTGTATTCTAGATTTTATTTCTTTTTTCAGCATGTTGGAGTAGCTGAAGTGCAGGTAAGCATATGAAACCATCCACGTACAATTATTACAAATACAATCACACACATACAATCACATACATATGCAACTAAAAATAATGTGTGCCGTTTCAACAATAGAGATGGTTGCAGCGAAGACATTAAGTGATGAGGTGCCCTCTATCTTCCACGGGTTTTCTTTACTTTGCTTGGCAATCCAAACCTGGCATTTTAGGGACTGGATTGTAAAATGATGTCACTGACCTTTAAGACACGGAGACATCTTCAACAACACATCACAATATACAGTCACAGACACACACACAACAACCACACCCAGGTATTCCAAACCCCTGCCTACATATACAACCACACACCCACACAACCACCTCTGGTTATACATACACATCCACAAAACCTCAGACCCACACATGCAATCACACATCCATACAGCCCCCTCCCCGACGACATCTATAATCAGACACCCACACAACTCTCCACCCATCCACATACATAACCATACACCTGCCCTGCCCCCCTCCCCACCACATACAGTCACACACCCATACAATAATAATAATAAATATAAAACACACACACAAACACACACACTGAGTCAAAGGCTGAAGTAACAACCGTTCTCTCAGTAAACACTTAAACTATTTCTTCTGTCTCGTATCTTTCAGTCAATTCTGACACAGATGATCTTATAAGCCAGATGTCAAACTGTCCGGCATCTTCTCTCTCCGTCTCCCTCTGCCTCTCCTCACCTGCAACGTTCCCACCTTCACGATCAACGCTAGTTTTTTCCTTCTTATGACATGACCACAGAAGTTAGATTGTCTCTTTCTTTTTATGACATGACCACAGAAGTTAGATTGTCTCTTTCTTTTTATGACATGACCACAGAAGTTAGATTGTCTCTTTCTTTTTATGACATGACCACAGAAGATAGATTGTCGTTCTTTTTATGACATGACCACAGAAGTTAGAGTGTCTCTTTCTTTTTATGACATGACCACAGAAGTTATATTGTCTCTTTCTTTTTATGACATGACCACAGAAGTTAGATTGTCTCTTTCTTTTTATAACATGACCACAGAAGTTAGATTGTCTCTTTCTTTTTATAACATGACCACAGAAGTTAGATTGTCTCTTTCTTTTTATGACATAACCACAGAAGTTAGATTGTCTCTTTCTTTTTATAACATAACCACAGAAGTTAGATTGTCTCTTTCTTTTTAGGACATGACCACAGAAGTTAGATTGTCTCTTTCTTTTTATAACATGACCACAGAAGTTAGATTGTCTCTTTCTTTTTATGACATAACCACAGAAGTTAGATTGTCTCTTTCTTTTTAGGACATGACCACAGAAGTTAGATTGTCTCTTTCTTTTTATAATATGGACAATATGTTTTCTTTGTGTGTTACTTTCTTTCAAAACAACTTGGTTACTATTTTAATCTGTGCAGGGTTTTAGTACTAGTTGTCCACAAAACTTCTGCTGCGTCATTGATTAGCTTTCGTATATCAGTATTGGAGTTATTTAGCTCTTAATTTTAGCTCTTAATAACTCTCCTCCGCACCCCAGTTGACGAAGAACGACTGCATCAACTATTTTTTATTTTTGTGACATGCTGCACTTTAACTAGTTGCCGGATAAGTAGTCAACAAATTCGGAAAAATATTTGACCGGCCAAATTTCCTGGCCCAAAAACTATCCTGGCACTTGACTCTGAATCTCGGTAACTTGTTTCTCACGAGAACCCAAATCAGGCATATCTGCAGACATAACAAGGATAGGGGAATCTTCAGTGATAAGTTACAGTGCGCCCTGTTTTTTCCCTATCTATTTTTCTTGGATGTTGCTTCTGGCGATAAGTACTGTGACAAGGATGCCATTTTTTTAACGGATCGGATTTATCTTGCAGGTGGCATGCACAAACTTGGCAGTTATATGGTGTGAAAGTGGTTACATTAAAAAAAAAATAACAGCTAGGCTTTTTGGGCGTAAGTATATATCTGTCTCTGTCTGTCTGTCTGTCTGTCTGCCTGTCTGTCTATCTGTCTGTCTGTCTGTCTGTCTGTCTGTCTGTCTGTCTGTCTGTCTGTCTGTCTGTCTGTCTGTCTGTCTGTCTCTCTCTCTCTCTCTCTCTCTCTCTCTCTCTCTCTCTCTGCATTTGTGTGTATGTGTGCGTTCTTTCCTTTGATCCTAACATGAAAATTATTCTTTTCTTTTCACTTCTTTTTCTTTGCATTAGTCTTAGAAAGAAAGAAAGAACCACAACTTACCCAGCAAAAATAACTTGCGTCCCTCCCTCCTCGGCTGTAATATATTTAGCATTACTGGTTTTCCCGTTCATTGCGACGTTCGGCATACTTGAGACCGTTGCTGGAAGTCCCGCTCTGGAGTCACCAAAAGAGATGTAATGGCTGCTGATGTTCGAAGTGGTACTTCTGTTAGTGATGTTGCAGTTTGTTCAAACCCTGTTTATTATTTCTTACCTGAAAAAATTTACACAAATCTAATATTAGAAGACGCATTTCTACTACACTTCAAGGCTACTAAATTCGCATTCGTAACCTCGGCTACATATGAAAAGTAACAGATATTCTTAGGCTAATTATTCCTCAGGTATATAATGATGCAGATTCATATCTGAACTGAAAAATCGGTAACTGGTGAACGATGTGGTCAACCTCACGCCGGCCGCCTTTACTTCTTTAGACACTACCTGGTTTCCATTCAGGAAGGGAATAAACAATATCAACACTAACCTATAGTTCGTAGGCTGCTGTGCCTAAGGGGGTTGTGAAAAGAGATTCACAATCGCGAAATACAACACAGCTACAGGCGACTAATCAATCAATCAATGAAAAAATTATTTTTTTTTTAGGTCACATCCATGGACAGCTCTAGATATAAGGCAAATCACACCCTTCTGTATATAGGTCCTTACAACTAAATCACGGTACATTTTGGCGGAGTCCCCTCGAAAATTGGTTGCTGGAAGCGTTTCCATGTTGCATTGTGTGACATTTTAACGTGCTTACAAAGTTCTGTGTTCTGAATGTGTTCATATTACAAATCGACAAGCGGATATTGTGAAATGGATATACAAGATTTTCAAACTTTGCTGTTATATTAGATAACAGCAATTTTAATTTAAATTCACGGCATGAAGTCGTGTTATGATGTGTGTGTCACTGTTTCTAGTCAGTAGTTTGGATTTTTTGGGAACTGGCTGTTTATTCTTTTTCTACTTTGAATGTAGAAATCTTACTTTTGGACAAAATACAAACAGGTAATTTAGAAGCCATATCTGGAGAATATCGACAGTTGTCAGGTGCAAACTATCTTGTGTTGGAAGAAAACTATTGCTTTCATTTTGACTGTGCATAAATGGTGCAACCACACTGTGGATAAATTGTGTCAAGATATTTCGGAGCTCTAAGAAAGTGCATCAAAACAATATTTTATTTACTAACTAACCTCTCACAGCAAGTCACTTATTGCCTCTTTATCAAATGTTGACTAACAGTATAATTATATGTTGTAGAAGTACACTAAAAATATTATAATTTTTGTGAATTTTCTGCTTCGCGAACACTGGCTGTAAACTCTGGCAGAAACTTCTGGCTGTTCATCTACTTCTTATGCACATTTGCAGTTGTACGGTCTGTGTTCATTTTTGTGAGATTTCTGCTTTGCAAACACAGGCAGAAATTTTCTGGTTGTTCATCTACTTCTAATGCACATTTGCAGTTGTACGGTCTGTGTTCATTTTTGAGAATTTTCTGCTTCGTGAACACTGGCAGAAACTTCTGGTTGTTTATCTACTTCTTATGCACATTTGCAATTGTACGGTCTGTGTTCATTTTTGTGAATTTTCTGCATCGTGAACACTGGGTGTAAACTCTGGCAGAAACTTCTGGTTCTTCATCTACTTCTTATTCACATTTGCAGTTGTACGGTCTGTGTTCATTTCTGTGAATTTTCTGCTTCACGAACACTGGCTGTAAACTCTGGCAGAAACTTCTGGTTGTTCATCTACTTCTTATGCACATTTGCAGTTGTACGGTCTGTGTTCATTTTTGTGAATTTTCTGCTTCACGAACACTGGCTGTAAACTCTGGCAGAAACTTCTGGTTGTTCATCTACTTCTTATGCACATTTTGCAGTTGTACGGTCTGTGTTCATTTTTGTGAAATTTCTGCTTCACCAATACTGGCAGAAACTTCTGGTTGTTCATCTACTTCTTATGCACATTTGCAGTTGTATGGCCTGTGTTCATTTTTGTGAATTTTCTGCTTCGCAAATACTGGCTGTAAACTCTAGCAGAAACTTCTGGTTGTTCATCTACTTCTTATGCACATTTGCAGTTGTACGGTCTGTGTTCATTTTTGTGAAATTTCTGCTTCGCGAACACTGGCAAAAACTTCTGGCTGTTCATCTACTTCTTATGCACATTTGCAGTTGTACGGTCTGTGTTCATTTTTGTGAAATTTCTGCTTCGTGAACACTGGCAGAAACTTCTGGTGTTTATCTACTTCTAGACTTTAGTCTTGTGTATGTTTTACAGCAGTGTTTTTATGTGCTAAATTTGATAAAGTACAAATGTCAACCCCCGCCCACCCCTTCCCCCGCCCGGCTCCTCTGACGTAACAATACCCTCTCAGAATCAAAGAGTTAGCACTGATATTTCTTTACTTTTGCTGGAATAGCTTTCAGTTTATTTCTACACGTTGTTGATGTTTATGTTCATGTTGCCTGTAGCAAAAGCATTTTTGTTTGTCTGTAAGAGCCTTTATTGTTATATTTAAAAAGCACACATATTTACCTTAAAAAAGACGTACAGTTCTTTAAAATATGTCGAAAATTAATGAAACTGAAGTTTTTGTGTGTGTGTAGATCTCCTCGATAAAAACTGTTAACGCGTGATAGTGATATACACCTTACGACATTTGCTGCGGCAGATCACGGCAGAAAACTCACAGAAATGAATACAGACCGTACAACTGCTAATGTGCATAAGAAGTAGATGAACAAACAGAAGTTTCAGCCAGAGTTTACAGCCAGTGTTCACGAAGCAGAAAATTCACAAAAAATATAATATTATTAGTGTACTTCTACAACAAATAATTATATTGTTAGTCAACAATTAGTAAAGAGACAATGAGTGACTTGCTGTGAGAGGTTAGTTAGTAAATAAAATATTGTTTTTATGCACTTACCCAGAGCTCCGAGATATCTTGACACAATTTATCCACAGTGTGTTTGCACCATTTATGCACAGTCAATATGAAAGCAATAGTTTTCTTCCAACACAAGATAGTTTGCACCTGACAACTGTCGATATTCTCCAGATATGGCTTCTAAATTACCTGTTTGTATTTTCCCCAAAAGTAAGATTTATACATTCAAAGTAGAAAAAGAATAAACAGCCAGTTCCCAAAAATCCAAACTACTGACTAGAAACAGTGACACACACATCACAACACGACTGTATGCCGTGAATTTAAATTAAAATTGCTGTTATCTAATATAACAGCAAAGTTTGAAAATCTTGTATATCCACTTCACAATATCCGCTTGTCGATTTGTAATCTGAATACATTCAGAACACTGAGCTTTATAAGCCCGTTAAAATGTCACACAATGCAACATGGAAACGCTTCCAGTAACCAATTTTCGAGGGACTCTGACAAAATATACCGTGATTTAGTTGTAAGGATCTATATACAGAAGGGCGTGGGCAGACGGGGCACTGACGGAAAAACCCGATATGCAATGCTGTCGACTCTTAAAATCGGTGGTTAACAAATGTATTAACTCTTCATTCCCAGAACAAATTCTCCGCCTTCTAGCTTCCCACAATTTTGCAGTCGAGCGATCTCTCTCCCCAGAAAGCATAATATCCAATGACAGTGTAAGGGTCTGTGATGTCATTTACCAACTTAACCAAATATGTAAGAAAGGAATCCTTTGTGCGATTTTAATAACCATAAATTATTATAAGTTCTTGGATAAGACTGAAAAGTATGGTGTCCGGAGGTCTCAACAAACTGGGAACAACAACATTTAATGCGGAAGACGGATCATCTATGGGTATGCCCGGTGTACTGTGGTGTCGAATCTTCAAACTAATCAAACAATGGTGGTTTATTAATATCTCACCCTAAACGTGGGAAATCCACAGGTCACGGGACAGTCTAATATTTTAGGGCGGTAGATAGGCTGCAGTCGTGGGACTTAGACTGCACGCAGTCGTGGAACCTAGGCTGCACTCTTTCGTGGGACGCAGGTATGTTGGGGTTAGGGCCAGTTCTAGGTGTTTTGGGGTCGTTAAAAGCATCAGAAAGCCGGGAAACCTAGTATTACCACCCTCTAAAATGTTGGACTGTCATGTGACGCCATCTGGGGTAGGATATTAATAAAGTATTCAATCAATTCTTGCTTCCGTAGCCTAAACTCTCCACTTTCCAAATCTCTGGAAGTAATTCATCCGAGTGATGTACCTTTCCAGATAACGACACATTAAAACAGATGAGTGGTTCGGCCTGGTTCTGTCAAGCACAGGCCTGGGGATATCGTCAAGTCGGGGTGGTGTCAAGGATGGTGCCACCTGTTGGGTATTGATTATTTGTCTCTAGTCATATTGGAAGTATTGATGGTATTTGTCAAGATCGCTGTTGGTGGGCTGTGTGTGCTAAAGTGTGGTGATGGGCTGTGTGTGTGATGAAGTGTAGTAATGGGCTGTGTGTGCTAAAGTGTGGTGATGGGCTGTGTGGGTGCTAAAGTGTGGTAATGGGCTGTGTGTGCTTAAGTGTGGTAATGTGCTGTGTGTGTGCTTAAGTTTGGTAATGGGCTGTGTGTGTGTGTGCTAAAGTGTGGTGATGGGCTGTGTGTGCTAAAGTGAGGTGATGGGCTGTGTGTGTGCTAAAGTGTGGTAATGGGCTGTGTGTGTGTGCTAAGGTGTGGTGATGGGCTGTGTGTGTGCTAAAGTGTGGTGATGTGCTGTGTGTGTGTGTGCTAAAGTGTGGTGATGGGCTGTGTGTGCTAAAGTGTGGTGATGGGCTGTGTGTGTGCTAAAGTGTGGTGATAGGCTGTGTGTGTGTGTGCTAAAGTGTGGTCTTCTTCTCTTCTTCGTTCGTTCGCCTGAAATAAGTTGTCTATATCAGCAATTTTGTCTCTTGTATATATTTCACTGTTGTTGTTGTGTGCATTCTACCTCACCTTCACGTGGTGGACCCTGTTCTTCCCAGCAATCCAGTTGAAGGTTAAGGTTTTAACCCCCAGCGGGAAACTGGATGGGACAACAAACGAGGTAAAGGCGAAAGACGAATGGATGAGCATACTCTCCTCGAGTATGGCCAC